TTTTCAGGAGTTAGCCTATAACGAACAAGATTATTTGGATCGATGCAGTATATTATAAATTTTGAACTTCGATCCACATAATACTTTATAAAATAAGAATTTTAATTAAAAATGAAATTGAGTGTTTCTCAGATTAAATATTATACGGAAGTCACTGAAACATGGAAACCATCTTTTCGCGACGTTATTGTATCTGGTGAGCTTACTAAAATTTGTTGCCCGACAACCGTATCAGCTTGATAACGAAATCGAATTGAAATGCGACCCTGTGAAATCCTACATAAATCTAGTGTTGCATGAACTAAGCAATCGTGCTGAAGTGAGAGAAAAGGCTGTTCTTAATTTGCTTTTAGATGCGAGTACAACCGCGAGGGTTCGTAGAAACGTCGTATTGGGGGGAAAAATCTCGATGGTTTTATAAGCTTGGCTACAAAAAGCCGCTAGTGAAATCAAGATAAAACACAACATACTGGATCGATGTCTAAAAAAACAGAACTGGGTCTCTACATTTTTACTAGCGATAGAGTAGCCCCGTTTTACAGATAATGGACTGAAGGCTTTAAGTTTTAATTGTAACGTCCGTTCGCGTCTCGGCACGGATTTCTCATATCACTTAGATAAACTTCCACGGAGCCATCGGCGGATTCTTTCGTAAGGACGGAGGATATCACCAAGCTTAAAATAATGAGTATTCATTGTTGCGTCCACCTTTTGGATATGCATATATTGAACGAGATGCACCAAGTACCCGAAGCCGGCTTATGGCAGGAAACTTCACACGATTGCGTCCCGTGCGCTGCTAGGGTGCGGTGTGCTAAAAGCTGCAGGCATTGCGTAAGTATGTCGATATGTACCGCTGGTATTTCGAGACAGGCGCTGTGCTGTTAACGGATATTGCAGCGCTTGCTGGCGTCTGGCTCGGATGGAGTCTCTCTAACAGCTTCCAGGAACGTGCCATTTTAACTGGCGCGTTTGCCATGCGCTCTCGGCGCACAAGCACT